TGAGTTTCTTTTATATTGACTTTCGAATTCGATTCATAACAAGTTCTTACGTAAACTTGGGATTTGATTAAAAAAAAAACAATTTATTTTCAATATTATAAAAATGTTTACGAGGATTATGCTTCAGAATTTATAAAATGCAAAAAATACGATATATCAAATAATAAACATTAACTCTGCCCCAAGTTCGCAAACATTTTCGTCACACCCTAATATTCCTTTTTCAGAATACACCACTTCAAGAAAAAAAGTTTACATCATAAATAATGAAACATTTAATATGTCATGTAAAACAATATTTTATGATTTTCTTTTTCATCTTCCAGCTATTGTACTTTAAACAATACATCATAAGGGAAAGTCTGGATAAAATGAGTTTAAGAATTTTCTTCGAGTAAAAAGGCAGAAATTGCATAATATTTCACACAATTCAATAATTTTCTTAAAAAAATCGTTGAAGTAGAAATAATTTTGTTTCAATTCATTCACAATATAAAGATAAAGTAATATGTAATACGTTTAGACACTTTGAGAGCAGCAATCGTGGAATGTAAAAAATATTGTAAAGAATTTGCCTCGCAATGCATTACGCAGTATTTTCGGAATGAAATTTCGGCAGAAAATATATATATTTATTTTTGTCAATTTTTTGATAAAAAACTGCAACAAAGTCAAACGCCATATTTTTTACATATATTTTTATACACTCCACCATACTCCGGAGGGTATATTAACTTTGTCATTCCGTTTGTAACTTCTCGAAATACTCATGTCAGACCCAAAAAAGTATATATATTCTTGACCAGCAATTCTAAGTCGATTTAGCGATGTCCGCGTGTCTGTCCGTCTGTTGTAATCACGCTATCTTTCGAATGAATTGAGAGAGGTGGCTAAAAATTTGCACACATGTTCATTTTTTCCAGTAGGCAGGTTAAGTTCGTAAATTGGCGGTACAACGGTACCTCACGACATTCGGTATTTTGATGATTTTAGCGACATTATTCACCGGAATTATTTCAAATTTGGTATTTGAAGTTCGAAATGGATAATACACCCTAAGACAGAAAATTGTCTGTGCAGGTCCACGTCTTCGTATAGCCCCTATACAACGGTACCTCCCTATATATTCGGAATTTTGATGACGACATTATTCACCAGAATTGTTTCAAATTTGGTATTTGAAGTTCGCAATGGATACTACACTCTAAGACAGAAAATTGTTTGGGCAGGTTCACGTCTTCGAATATGGGGGCTATTCCACGTTTTCATATAGCCCCCATACAACGGTACCTCACGACATTCGGTATTTTGATGATTTTAGCGACATTATTCACCGGAATTATTTCAAATTTGGTATTTGAAGTCCGAAATGGATAATACACCCTAAGACAGAAAATTGTCTGTGCAGGTCCACGTCTTCGTATAGCCCTTATACAACGGTACCTCCCAATATTCGGTATTTTGATGATTTTAGCGTCATTATTCACCAGAATTTTTTCAAATTATGTATTTAGAGTTCGTTTTGGGAACTACAGTCTGTGACAGAAAATTGTCTCTGCAGGTCCAGGTGTTCGTTTAGGCCCCATATATCAGTACCTCCCTATATGGGGTATTTTGACGATTTTAGGTACACTACCCACCAAAATTGAGATGTGGTATTTGAAGTTCGCTACGGCATGTGACAGAAAATTGTCTATGCAGGTCCAGGTCTTCGCACAGCTCCGCTTTGTCGGTACCTCCCAATATACGATATTTTGATGATTTTAGCTACATTAATCACCGTGTTTTTCAAGTTTCGAATTTGAATATGGTAATGGCTTATGACAAACAATGCTTATGTAGGCCCACGTCGTATAGACCCCAATATAACGGCTATATTTGGTATTTTTAAAATTTTAACAGAATGTTTTAAGGATTTAATTTTTTGAAAAATTCCAAATTCCTTCTAAATGGTGGAGGGTATTTAAAGTTCGGCCCGGCCTTACTGCTTTCTAACTTGTTTTTTTTAATTTTATTGGATAAAAGCAAAAACTGTAGAAATAGCATCAAATTCTAGAATAAATTTATAGTTGTTCGAATTGGTTACCTTTGGCACGAATTATGACCTTCAAATGGCCATTAAGACCGTCACACGCTGCCTAAATGTTGCCCTTCGGTATTTTGACCCATTTCCGGCGAAGGGCTTGCTTGAGGATAAACAACACTTTGTTATTTTTTGATGCAAACCTTGCTTTCCAAAATACTCCAGACACAATAGTCTAACGGGTAGGTACCCGGACATGTTGGTTGCCATTGTGCGCTGAAAATGAAGCACGGAACCTCATTTTGTAACCATTCTTGTGTGGGGCGTGCTGAGTGCGGTGGCGCTGAGTCCTGTTGGAATGTCCAAAGTCTGAGTCCTGTTGGAATGTCAAAGCCCAAAATGTTTGCGTGCCCAAGGCTTAAATACACCCTCCAAAATATTGGCGGCCCCTGCCATCACCATGGCCGGCGCTTGGGTTCTGGTGGCCAACTAAAGGTGCATATTTTCAGCTGACCTCTTTGACAAGTAAACACGATCATTTTGTTTGTCTGCTGGACAACGAATTTTTTCTCATCGGAGAAAACCAAATTCGGCAGTTCACCACTTTCGGCCAAGCGAAGCAACTCTTTAGCTCTTTTGACTCTATTTTCTTTCTGGTGTGGTGTAAGTTCTTGCATTTTTTGGAATTTAAATTTTTTTTTAAATTTGGTATTTAAGACTTGCAATAGATAACAATCCTTGTAGTATAAAGTGGTCTAAATGTGTACCCTTTTTTGGTATGGCTCCCCATATAACGGACTCACTTTATGTTTTTAACTGGTTTTTGTAGTTTAAAGTGGAACACGGTTAAATTAAGATACTTCTCAATAAAAATGTTTCGTTGGCGTTTGTTTATTAAAGAATTTTATTAAACCCTACAACACTATGTGTTGGGGGTATTATAAATTTGAGTGGGCCAAAAACTATGTAACACCTCGAAATATTGGTATCCCACTTAGGAAAGTATATATGGATCTTCCTATCTCGCCGAGCTGAGTTGATCTAGCTATGTATGTTCGTCCGTCCGTCCGTCCGTCTGTCCGTGTGAAATCACTCTATAGGTCGCAATTATGGCCCGATCTTCATGAAATTTAGAATGGAGGTGGGGATGGGGCCAGAATAGAACCCTATTTCTTTTGGAGTTAATCGCATAATATCTAAGGGTTGAAATGGACCAAATACTGAAAAATTTCCAGATTTTGCAGCTGCTCTACAGGTCGCAATTATAGACCAATCGAAGCGGAAGTTGGCATGGTTCTAGAGCTTAGGGCTGGGCAGAAGCCTTCCAATTTTGATGTTCATCGGGTAATATTAAGTGGGTGAAATAGGCCATAACATTTGTGTTAAATAAAAGTTAAATTTCCCATTAAACCGCGAATATTTTTAATCCCGGCGAAATCACAAATAGACGAACAGGTCAGTTCTGACCGTTACGTCGATGCCCATAGTAAATATATTGGATATATATATATATAGCGAAATATATACAATGTATATACACAAAGGAAGGGGATGTTAGCTAGAATGCTTATATCTCAAGAATGGCTGGACCGATTTTCACAAATTTTGTCAATTCAGAATGCTTTTGGCATAAAAGTATACAATTTAAAAAATGCCAATAATGATGTTAATATCGATTTTGTAATATTTTGTGACATTTATTTATTTTTTCATATTTTGATCGCATGCGATTTTTTCAATTTGACTTGTATTGTATATTTATATTTATTATGGTTATTATATACAGATTGCAATTATCGTCCGATCTTCACGAAAATTTTCACAAGGGTAGGGTTAGACTGAGAAGGGCTAAGACTTTTGTTTTCAAAGATGTCCGCAATATATTTAGGGGTTGAAATGAACCAACAACTAAAAATATTCCTAATTTTGCAGTCATTATAAATGTCACAAAGGATACGAAATCTCGCATGAAGTTTGAGTTTACGAAATCAAGTAGAATGGACCAATACTTTTGTGTAAAAGAATACCAGCATTATTTACAGGCGATATTCGAAATACACAAAATGCGGACTTCTGGCTTTTTATGCTGATTCCGTTGACGATATAGATGAGTCTAAATTTGGAGATACAGAGGGGCCTCTTGTTTTTGGAGATAATCGCAAAATATTTAGCGGTTCAAATGAACCAAAAACAGAAAAAAATTTCTGATCACATAATTGATGCCAATCGACACGCCTGAGAAAATTATTTTTAGCTGTAAAATGGACCACAACAACTAACAGCACAACGGAGTGCATAAATATTGGACAAATGTACCTGGCCGTGATATAATTTCAAAAGCGAAATCTTCCAAAATGGATTTGGACATAAGGGGACTTCTAACATATTGTAGTGATTGTAGGGTATCACATGGTCGGCCCTGTACGACTATAGCCTTTGCTTACTTGTTTTTTTTTTTTAATATATAGTTTGACATTTGACTCTCATCCTAAATATATAGCGTATTCATCCACAACTGTCCACAAAAATTAAACCCTAGTTGTACAGTCGCTGAAAAGTCTACAAAACTTATAGCGGCTTGAATATGAACTACACCCTACCGACTATCCAAGACACTTACCAGATATTTTAACTCATTCTTAAATAAAAGCGTTTTTTTTGGTCTTTGCGTCTTTCTCAGGTGAAAATCCATGCTACAATACCTGAAATATACGTTTAGTAATGACAAGAACTCCTCCAACTACTAGTAAAGACACACACACCAATGACTGTATCTCCCCAGTGACTATTGTGAATGGCCGCACACCAAAAAACACATGTTCTCTTTTGTATCTCACAGATGCATCTGAAATTCGAGCTAAATGACAAGCCCATAATTCGAAGAAATCACAATGAGAGAGAGAGGGAGAGAGAAATAAACAAATGGATTTGTATGTGATGTCTTCTTGCAGGTCAGTTGCAGAGTAGCGGTGTCTGAAAAAACAACTAAGCGGCACAGTGTAAAAAGCAATATACGAAAAAATAATAAGACAATAAATTAAAATTATGAAAAGATAACAAAGTGTGATTCATGTATTAAGAGAAATATGGAAAGCTGATTAAAAATGTAAAATTATCAGAACATATTTTGGATTTTCAATGTTTTGACTTGTCCCATGCCAAGTGGGTCTATCGGTGTATTTATTCATGTATATTGGAGTGCGTGCGTAAGTGTGTATGTGTAATGGTCAACCAAGTGCATCAAAGTATCTGAGAAATATCAAAACACAAAACAGCTGTCAGTGTCAAGTGTCTCTGTACATATACCAATCACAATAGCAAAGGGAAATGCAAAAATGTCATTTTGACATTTCTCTTTAGCAACACCCAACACCAACGACTAGGTGTCTCTTTCTAGCTCAGAGCAATCAAATGACCACCTTTGCAGAAACAATTTTCCCTCTCTCTGTGTGGGAATTCTTATCTGAGAAGTGCGTTCAAATGAGGCGGCTTTGTATCTGTGAGATAAACTCAACTGGATGGTAGACCTTTTGCTGGTGCCTACTACAGTTTGTCTGTATTGTAAAATGAACAAAGCACGAAAGTAGACGCATCAGCAAAACAACGACGGTACGCGTTCTTGATGAAGAAAATGAAGAGAAAATTTTGGAAATTATTGTGTGAAAAAATACCTAAATGAAAAATCTATTGGAAAATACTAAAGAAAATTCGAATAAAAAATCCGAATGAAAATCCCAAAAGATAGTAGGAAATGTTGTAATTTATTTTTATGAAGCCTCCTTGCGAAAGAAAATTTCCTATCATAATTCTGTGAGAGTGTGTGTGTGCGTGGTTTTTTTTAACATATACCCTCCTAACCGTGTTTGCAACTTCTTCCATTGCCTATCAACGTTGGGTTTTGTACTCGTTTCGTTTGGCTGGCTGCCTGGCTAGCTGATTCTTATGGAGGTCTTGTTAAGAGGCCCTTTACTTTGTCGCCGACCAGAGTTTGAGTGCGTGCCTACATATCTGTGAGTGCTAGTAGCATCTGTATGTGAGAGTGTGTGTATGTTTCTAAATTGTTGGTGTTGTTTTCATTTCTTGTTTCTTTGCATTCAATGCCAAATATCCTTGCGAAAATAAGATAGCCTTATCCGAAGAGAGCACAGTGCAAATGAAATGGCAACATTGTATGTGAAAGATGATTTCAGAAAGTGCACAAACACATACACTTACAAAACACACCAACAACATCGCTCTCACACGCAACAGCAAATAATGTAATTCTATAAAATTTATAGTGAAAATAAATAATAAAAATTGTTATTCTATGTGGCAAAAGAAAATAAAAGTGACGGAGAGAAGAAAGAAGAATCACAGAGAAAATAAAAAATGCAATTATAATTCAAATAAAAAATTCACAAAAAGGGGTGTTTTTTCTGTCATCTGTTCTTTTTAGTTGGCATTTGAAATCATTGATGCTTTAAAGTGTCTGCAGAAAACAGTGAGAATCCGTGCAATGCAGAAGTGAAATACGATAAAAATTAATGAAGAGAAAAAACAACCAACACACCAAATGAAAATATTAAAACAACAATCAGCCCTAACAAATTACCACCACCATTAACAAGGCACTTACAACAACAACAACAGCTTGTTAAGAGAATTAACAACAACAATAGCAACAGCAGTAAATGGTGTAACGTCATACCACTGCCAGACTTTACACCACAACTAATTAATTGCCAACATTAATAAATTACCATTCAACATCTGATTGAATTTCATTTGTGTGGCCCTAAAATTTATATGAAACAGAAATAAGTCGCCATCTTTCCGCAGAGATAAACAAAACAACAGCCACCCTACCACCCACCACCGCCGTCACCATCGACCTCAACACACCACTCAATAGCTGTGGGCGGCAGAGGAGCAGTAGCCACCAACATTGATCGCTTTCCGAACAACCCGAAATACTCTTTTGGTGTGGCAAGTTCACATAATCCCAGCCAGGTATGTTTATATAGCTTCTCTGTGTGTTTGTTTGTGTGTCTTTACCTCCTTCTTTTCTAGTTTGTTTTTTATTTCTGCTTCCATTCCACATTTCGTTTTTAAACTTAATTAACTTACAAACAACATCAATATAAATTTCTTTCAATATCAAAGCTCTTCAATGACCATTTTCGTTTTGTTTGGGATTTTCCAGTTTTAGTTTTTCCCCCCAAAAAGAAAAACCGCACCTTGTTTTCTCTGACTTTTCGTTTTACGCCATGTCCTGTGTAAATATGAATGATGTTTGCTTTTAGGTTCGTTCGTTCGTTCGCTGGCTTGTTTGGTTCACAACTTTTTGTATTATTTTAGTTTTTTGGCAATTCTTCTTTTTCCCAATTAGCGACCAGTCAGACAAACGGCCAGTTAGTCAAACGACCATCCATCGTTTCAGATTTTGTAATTTATTGAAATGTGAAATATAAATTGCAGGAGACGACTTCCAGGCACACCAACTAGATTTAAGGAATACACAAAGGGAAATCATTTTTCTTTTAATTATTTTTTTTTTGTGCTTAGGGTCACCTGGGGAAAACAAACTAATGTAATAAGATTAAATAAAAATACTGATAAAGTTGATTGTACATTTCCTTTGTACACACCACTTCGGAAATATCTAATATGTATTAACAAGTAAGCAAAGGCTACAGTCGAGCGGGGCCGACCGTTGAATACCCTACAACATTATAAAAAACCATACAGTTTACATAGGCGAAATACTCGACAGAATTCCACAATATATGGTTTTTGACTGAAACGCATCTATATGAGATACAGACATTTGACTATATTCTTCAACGAAATAGTCAGAAGTGCGTCTTTCCTGTATTTGTGAATTCTCCAAAAAGTCACTGGAATGGACATTTTCGTATTTTGTCTACAAAAGTTGTACAATAGTTTTTTTTTACATTTTAACTCTATGTGTTGGGGTAGGTCCACGTTTTGGCATAGTCCCGACTTCCGATATTCGGTACTTCCCGATATTCGGTATTGTGATAATTCTCACCAGGTTTTTTTCACGGATTTGTCTAAAAACTGATATTTGTAAGTCATAATAGGTTTTAGCTCGTTTGGCGAAAAATTGTATGTATAGGTCCACGTTTTGGTATATCCCCTATAACGGTACCTCCCGACATTTGGTATTTTGATGAGTTTTGCCACATTTTTCTCGGATTTGTTGTAACTCGTGTGGTGAAACATTGAAGGTATAGGTCCACGTTTTGGCATACAACGGTACCTCCCAACATTCGGCATTTTGATGATTTTTGCCACATTTTTTCGAGGATTAGACTAAAAATTGAAATTTGAATTTGTCATTGTATGTATATGACCACGTTTTGGTATATCCCCCAAAATAACGGTACTTTTCGATATTTGGATAACAATTGGTATTAGTAGTTCATAATGGGTTCTAGCCGGGGGCAGAGCATTGAATATTTAGTATCACGTTTTCCTATAGTGCACATATAACGATACCCTAAGGTGGAGGGTATTGAAAATCCAGCCCGACCGAACTTATTTTTATACCCTCCATCAAAAAAGGTATGGAGGGTATATTAAGTTCGTCATTCCGTTTGTAACTCATCGAAATAATCATTTTAGACCCAACAAAGTATATATATTCTTGACAGCGTAAAATTCTAAGACGATTTAGCCCTGTCCGTCCGTCTGTCCGCCTGTTGTAATCACGCTACAGTCTAAACGAATTAAGATAGGAAGCTAAAATTTTGCACAGATCTCTCTTTTGTCTGCAGGCAGGTCAAGTTCGAAGATGGGCTATATCGGTCCACGATATCGTATAGCCCCCATATAACGGCACCCCCCGATATTCAGTATTTTGATGATTTTACCCACATTTTTCAAGGGAATTGTCTGAAAATCCACACAAGGAGTTCCTTGTGGGTACTTTATACCTCGGCAGAGAATTGTCCATACAGGTCCACGATATCGTATAGCCCCCATGTAATGGTACCCCCGATATTCGGTATTTTGATGATTTTGGCCAAATTTTTCAATGGAATTGTCTGAAATTCCACAAAAGGAGTCCCTTGTGGGCATTTTACCTCCTCAAAAAGAATTGTCTATATAGGTCCACGATATCGTATATCCCCCATATAACGGTACCTCCCCATATTCGGTATTTTATGATTTGACCCACATTTTTCATCAGAATTGTCTGAAAATCCACACAAGGAGTTCCTTGTGGGTACTTTATACCTCGGCAGAGAATTATCTATATAGATCCACGATATTGTATAGCCCTCATATAACGGTACCCCCGATATTCGGTATTTTGATGTTTTTAGCCATATTTTTCAACGGAATTGTCTTAAAATCAACACAAGTAGTTCCTTGTGAGTACTTCACCCCCTGAGAGAGAATTGTCTATACAGGTCCACGATATCGTATATCCCCCATATAACGGTACCTCCCCATATTCGGTATTTTATGATTTGACCCACATTTTTCATCGGAATTGTCTGAAAATCCACACAAGGAGTTCCTTGTGGGTACTTTATACATCGGCAGAGAATTATCTATATAGATCCACGATATTGTATAGCCCTCATGTAACGGTACCCCCGATATTCGGTATTTTGATGTTTTTAGCCATATTTTTCAACGGAATGGTCAAAAGGGGTTCTTTGTACACAATGGGTTCTTTGTGAGCACTTTCCCCCCCCGACAGAGAATTCTCTATATAGGTTAACGATAACGTATAGCTCCCATATAACGGTACCCCGCGATATTCAGTATTTTGATGATTTTAGATACATTTTCCAATCGTATTGTCTGAAAATCCACGCGGACATAGATTTGTCTTTATAGGTCCACAATATCGTATATCCCCCCATATATCGGCACCTTCCTATATTAGATATTTTAAAGATTTTAAAATAATTTTTATTGGATTTTATTTTTTTGAAAATTTTCTAATTCGTTCCAAATGGTGGAGGGTATTCAAAGTTCGGCCCGGCCGAACTTACTGCTTTTTTACTTGTTTTTTTACATGTTTTAAAATTAAGGCTAGCTTACAAAGAATAACATTTGAAATTTCTCCAAACTACTGTGTATAGAAAGAACTGTTAAAAATTGTTTTCCATTTCCATTTCCATACATATCAGTGCTAATCAGATGCTGATAATGTCCCACAAATTTGACAGAATACAACTACTCTCTCGAACATTGAATGTCAATGATGCTATTTTCCAAGTATTTCTTTTGCAGATTACTTACTGTGGATTATTTATATAGCATAATTCTTCACATAATAGCAACATTGAGTACATATTTCCCAAAATTAGTCATTACCAATGATGCTCTATTACACAACCAAACAGACATACAGAACACATAAACCAAGGCAGCCAATTTATTACTTTTGCTAGTGCTTCAATTATTTTCCCTCAAGTTAATTTTCTAATTTATCTTCAATATTGTATCCATTTGGTTTCCCTTAAAATTTGTAATTATTCTTCCAATTAGACGCTCGCAATAAATTGACATTAAATGACACCCACATCAGATAAACAAAAACAAACAACAACAAAAAAAGAAGCAAAAACTTCAGTCTGAACATGCAAGTGCAATAAAATTAGCTTCAAGACTTTAATGTTAACTTGTTTCACTGTTGACTTCATAAAATCTCAGATTTAATATTGCATGGAAACACACACACGCAATTACAACAAATATCATCTGCAACAAAATAAACATTTATTTTTCATTCAACATCTACAAACATATACACATACATGTATATGTATGTATACATGAATAAAAAATCCCTTCAATATTAGTTTATACAAATATATCCGACTTTACAACTCTGGCTGGGTGTTATTAAATGAAATGTAAATACATATGTGCATAATGTACATACATATATATATGTATGTCATGTGTGTTTTTATCGCATAGTTGTAAGAAAGTACTTACGTTTATAAGTGTGTAGTTTATTCAAATATTATATTTGGTTGTCGTTGTTGTTGCTTTTTTCTGTTTTTTTTTTTTACTTTTATTCAAATGGTAGTTGCCTTTTTTAACGTTACTTCCCTTCCTCTACTCCATCTCTCTGAAGTAAATACCAAAACCCAGACACAATCATCAGCCAACAGAACCGGCATTTCGATGCTATGTTTACAACTCAGCAGTTTTATTTTTGTTGTTGATGGTATATGGGAAACTTCAATTTATATGGAAATGATGAGAGGTACAACAACAGGAGCAGCAGCAAAAACAACATGTCCTCAAACTTTTGCGCCGAGGATCCTAAACGTACACATATGAATAGAGAATTTGTGGAAAACGTAGAGGTGTATAGCGAAAAAAAAAATCAATAAAAACCTCCCTACCAAAAAAAAAAAAAAAACAAGGCCGACAGACAGTGCAGACAGTCAATTTTTTTTTTTTGGTAATTTATTTCTTATTATATATCTACCATTATTCTTTATTCCGATGGCGCAATTTGAAGTTACTTTTGGATTTGTTTAAAGCTGATTGGGTGCAGATGAAAAAATTAATGTTAGTAAAACATTAAACCGAATAAAGCATTAAAAGATAATGTAAACAAACTAACTTGTTCATTACCAGTGGATTGAAAATAACGGGCTTTAAAAAAAAACAAGTAAACGGCTGGGCCAAACTTTAAATACCCTCCAATTAATTGGAACGAATTTGCAAATTTTATTAAATTAAATAAAAACAAGTAAGCAAAGGCTATAGTCGTGCGGGGCCGACCATGTGATACCCTACAACACTCATAATGGTAGGAGTCCCCTTATGTCCAAATTCATTTTGGAAGATCTCGCTTTTGAGATTTTGTCATAGACCTTTTTGACTAGGGACATATGCCCAATACTTACGCAAACCGTCGTCCTGTTAGTTACAGTTAAATATAAGCCGATGGTCATCCCTGTCCTTTGCTCTCTTCTCATGCAAAATTTCGTGTAGATTGGTTTCAA